AATTGTTTATATATACATATATATATATATATATATATATATATATATTTGTTTTTTTTCCACTCTTCGCAGATCATTTTTATTAATTGTGCAAAGTAATATTGATTTAGCTCTCGACTTATATAAAATTGGTTATTTGATTTTATTAGATTTGTCATTGGTATTGATTAAGCCCCGGAGTTATAAAAGAATGATTTTTGGTATTTTGTGTAGCACCATTAGTTAGGATCATCAATAATTATTGTGCTTCCCAAGACCCAGAGCAACCAATTTACTTCTAGTTAAGATAAAGAAGAAATGAAATCGGAATCAAATATTTATATATCACGTCGAAGTTCATAATTAGTGATGCAATAACATTCACAAAAAAAGCGTTTTGGTAGAGTGAAACGCTGACATCAAGTGCTCTTACTAAAATCCTACGCATCTTTTGGTTAATGATTCAGGGATGTTGTTAAATGTTCTTTGTTTGTTTGAAGAGTTTGTAGATTTAGTGAATAATTTTATTGCTGCTGGTGTTGCCCATCGTCCTGTTTTGGTGCTTCAACTTTGTCAGGTTAATACTCACATGACAGTTTTTTAGGCAATCATTTTCTGCATTGTTTTGGGTTAATTTTATTTGATAAATTATTACTTTAATTTTATGATTTATGTTATATTTTTTACTTGCACTATTGTTGTACATGTGAAATTGGTTTACAAAATGTGACAAATGCTTCTAGGCTTTTTTGGGATCTTCAAATTCCAAAAGTAATCAATTTTAGGAACAGGTGAGATGTGTTTGTGTGTGTATTTTTTGTCTATATCATATTTTTGGCTAAAGAATCTTATAGTTTGTAGTTAGTTTGAATTTGAATTTTTTGGAAAATATTTTTATTGTAGGTTGTCAACTCATGGTATTAAAGTTGATATGCATATTCGTGTTGTTAATGGAGGATATGCTCATATATCTTTAGAAAATGAATTTCTTAAGAAATTTCCTCAAAAATCCATTAATGAGCTACAAGTCTATGAGGAGGTGATCATGATATTGTCATTCAATATTATATGATGATTCAATTTTTTAAAATTTTAATTATGTTTTGATCTTTTTCTTGATTTTTACTAACAGGAGGGTATATTTGTTGTTTTGGGTAATGTGTTGACTGTATTTAAGGATGGTTCATGGTGGTACATGGCATGTAAGTGCCACAAGGCTATTGCTCTTGATAATGCGTTTTACTGTTATGCTAGATGTGAATGTCATGTGATGGATGTCACACCTTGATAAATAGTCTTCGTCGTTATGTGCTATTTACTTATATACATATTTAGAGTTTATATTTTGACTACTAATTTTTTATGTTTGATGTTTCAATTTTAAATTGATTTTTTATGTTTGATGTTTCAATTTTAAATTGAAACTTGAAGTTAGTGATGGGAAAGGTGTTGGGTCTTTTGTTTTGTTTGATTTTGATTGTAATGCTATGATGAAAAAAACTTGTAAGCAATTGTTGTCTGAGTTAAAGATTTGTGATATAATTTAATTTAATTTAGAAAAATAAGAATAAAATTTGAATTTTAGTCATGTTAGTTATTTATTGTATTCGTTTTATACACTCCAAAATTATGTGTATACATTTTTGATGATGTTTACTTTTTTTCACAAGGATCTAATTGTTGTTGATTATCCAGGTGAGTTTGGTAACTTAGTTGGAGTGAAGTTGTTGCTCATTGTTGAGAAGTCAGCTAACCGTGATTTTCGTTAAGAAGATACTTTTAAAGTGAAATTTTTTTCCTTGATGATTGTGTAATAGAGAAGTTTAAGGGAGAATATTTTATTACAACTCCAGAATCTATATTTATTTATTTAGTTTCTGATTGTTATTGATAATCATTATTAGTTATAAATTTTATATGAAATTTTATTACAATTGTTTCATTAGCTAGGGATGATCCAAATAATCATGTGAAAAATTATTGCGGAAAAGAGAAAGTTAAAGTTGAAGTCTGTGAAGTTAGAACCCTATAAATGAAACTACTACAATATTTGGAACAATTATATTTTGTTGTTTAGTGACTATTGGTTAGTTTTTTTTTTTTTGGAGTATTAAAATAGAAGATCAACAATGTAAGATATATGTTAATCAATCTATGACTCCAAAAGATAGATAATGTACAAAGAAAGAGGTAAGTGTCACGTACTATAGTTTTACAACCAAAATAATGAAATTTAATTAGAGGCAAAATTAAATTAATTGCACTATCAACCACAATCTTATTTGGAAGGCAGGTGTAGAGGACTTTTAGGTCTTCGGCTGGCAAGTAAATAAATGCACTAGCTTGCGTTGTTTATTGTTTACTCTGATAATGTTTGGCTCATGCATGTTGGAATGTATCTGTTTTCATTAGTTCATTTTAAGAGTAAAAATAAATAAATAACAGCTCCTTATTAAAAAAAATGATTGTCTATCGAAAAATATTGAACATTTTATGAATGGGTAAAATTTCATGTGTTGAGTTATATGAATGAGAAAAATAAATTATAGAAGAATTTTACCTTCTTAATTAAACTAATTCGTCGGATACATCTCCAGCTGGATGTTTGTGTTAAATTGTGATGTTTCAATATGCTTAAATGATAGAAAATTTGCAGTAGGTAGAACGTTTCATGATCACAGGAGTGTGATCTTGTTTTCATTTGCTGCGAATATTGAATTCTACTTTGTTATTCATGCCGAATTATGGACAATCTATATAGGAGTGTGATGAGGATTTTTCTGCAATCTTTGCACTTGGCAAGCGGACCAAGTTTTAAAGTAGTATTCAAATATCGTCCTCAAGGATTTGAGTGTTTAGTAATTCTTGCTCTAGTGATTTAAAAGAGAATGTTGTTATAATTGCAAATAAGTGAAGATAGAGTAAAGCAACACAATAAAATGAAAATAGTAAAAACTATGGTTAAGAAACAAGGATTGGTTCAGAAGTACTTGCTAACTCGTAGATCCTCTTAAAAAAAATGCGATTCTAATTTCATTATTTCCACGTTCATTTAGTAATCCAACAAGATTCCTCAAGGTTGAATCCTAAAGTCATTAATCTCAAAACATGATTCCTCTATGTTGAGTTTAACACTTCGCATTAGGAACAATGTCTTGAACAATGTGACTAACCAAATCAAGTCTATTCCTAGAACGAGAAATGATTAGGTGCAAGATTCAGTTCGGGTTTTCAAAAACGTTTTCCAACTGGATTCAAAAACCAAATATTCATACAACGGGTGATCAAGCCGATATAAGCATTAAGAGAAGAATTAAGCACAAATAATGAGATCAAAATGCATATATTTAAGAAGAAGAAGAGTTAGTAGTTACATTCAACCAATCCTAATGAGTTTAGCCACACATGGCCATTACAAGATTTAAGAAGTAAAAGAAGAGATTACAAAGTGGGAGATGAGAACAAAGGGTTGGGCTTCGTTCCCAAATGACCCAACTGCCCAAGTCTTCGTTCTTCCTCTATTTCTCTCTTTTCTAAAGTCTCAATCTCATTTTTCTCCTTAATTTCGTGATGCCCTGTTTCTTGGCTTTTCCCCTTTTATATGAGCTTTAAAACAGGGACAAAAAGTAATTTTTCCTCCCACAGCTGCAGCTGTAAATCCACAGCTATAGCTGTGGAAAGTCCTTCAGAGTGAAGAAACTTCTGGCGCTGCAGCTGTAGCTCCACAGCCATGGCTGTGGAAACTCCTTCATGATTAAGCGACTCCCTAAGATGTAGCTGTGAAACCACAGCTATGGCTATGAGTCTCTGTGACTTTCCTTGATCTCCCAAGCCTCAACGCTCAAGCTATGGACCTACAACTTTAGCTTCAAGTCTCTGGAACCAAAAAATGAGCATTCCAGATTTCCACAACTATAGCTGCAGAACCATAGTTATAGCTGCAAGTTTCTGACCTTCACAATTTCTCCCCAGATTTTCACAGCTCGAGCTCCAGATCCACAGCTATGGCTGTGGATCTCTGCCTTCCTAAAAAACCTGCAAAAAATGAGGAAATTCCTTAAGATTTTGCTACTACTCATCTACTCTTTTAGTATAACTTGATTCTTTAAATAAAAGGGGGAGGTAAAATAACATATATAATATCTACAATTACCAAAAAGAGTACCAAAAGTTGAGTGCAAATCATGCATAAAAGAGTGGATATTGTGTGGAGTAAAGGTTTCAGGAAGTTTAATTATCAGAGTCCAATTCTATGACTACAGTGACCTTTTTTTAATAAAGGGTGTGCCTCTCACTATTTCTATTTTTGACTAATTTACAGTATTTTTTCTTTCAATACACGTAAGATATGGTGAACTTCTTTGGTAGCATGTTTACGTTAAAGTAAATCAAGTAATTGATGCTCTAATAAATTTAGAGATGTTTCTTTTGTGTTTGATGAAAAATTTTCAAAATTTAAAGAATTTAAAATTTTTGAAATTTGAATTACTATTGTTTTCATTTTTATCATTTTTTAAATATTTTATTTGAATAAATTAATTTAAATTTTTTAATTTTTAATTTTTTAATTTTTAATTTTTTAATTTTAAATTAATAATTTGATTTTTATTATAGGTAAAATTTATTTATATATATATATATATATATATATATTGAGATTTTAAGATTTTATAAAAAATAAATACTATTCATTTTTAAAATATTTAATAATTTCAAAATAATTTCAAATATTTAATAATGAGAGATACAAATATATATATATATATATTTGTTTTTTTCCACTCTTCGCAGATCATTTTTATTAATTTTGCAAAGTAATATTGATTAATAGCTCTTGACTTATATAAAATTGGTTATTTGATTTTATTAGGTTTGTCATTGGTATTGATTAAGCCCTGGAGTTATAAAAGAATGATTTTTGGTATTTTGTGTAGCACCATTAGTTAGGATCAACAATAATTATTGTGCTTCCCAAGACCAAGAGCAACCAATTTACTTCTAGTTAAGATAAAGAAGAAATGAAATCGGAATCAAATATTTATATATCACGTCGAAGTTCATAATTAGTGATGCAATAAAATTCACAAAAAAAGCGTTTTGGTAGAGTGAAACGCTGACATCAAGTGCTCTTACTAAAATCCTACGCATCTTTTGGTTATGAACATATTTGCAAATAGCAATGAATAATAACAACGAAACGCCATTGATCTCCTCTCCACTACCATTACATCCTATATGACTAAACTCTTGTAGTAATAGATCTTTAGGTGGAGACGCTATTAGGAATCCCTCTGCAAGTAACGCCGGGTTGAGAGGTAGGTGCGAGTAGCTCATAAGGTAAAACCCCTGCGCCGCAACGGTTCCTGAGTGTTGGATCACAGTTTCTTCTCTCAATCTCCTTCTCTATCCGCCTCATCTCTGCGGAGAACCTGTAGAATGCCTCAGTGATCTCTGCATCACCTGACCATACGGATGACTGTTGCCGCTCTCCCAAATACTCCTCGTCAGGTGAGTGGGTAGAGAGTATGTCAACTATAGCCATATATTTCGTAGCTTGTAACAAGCTGGGCAACGCATTTAGGAAATACTTTTGGGGATCTGCTACGAAATTCCCATATTCTAGATCTGCCTCATCACTCTCTTCCGGGATTAATCTTCGCATTAATGGAGGACGATTTGGCACGTAACCTCCATAAGGGTACTGCCCAAAATTAATAGCTGCATGTTGTGCTGATACCGTCCAAATCAAGGTGGTAAGGATAGACACAAGATCCTGGTTATTTTTCAATGTGGGCCACCACCTTTGATGCCTGAGATCAGCATGCCCCACATTGATTGACTCAGAGTACCACGCTTGTAGCTCTTTGTCATTGCAAATGAGGCTTGGATGGCGGTAGTAGTGGTTCACATAGGTGCGGACCCAGTTCTCAATTGCAGACCATATCAGAAGCCCATCCGCTGCATAAGGGTAGTCTTCTATTACCAGCTTTACCCCGTTTGGTTGTGTTGGGTCAGGTACCGCCATTCCCCTGAACATTTTTAATTTGTTAGATAACATAACATTCATTCAACTAGTCTTCTCATTTTCAACTAACCTGCGTATGAGATCTGCAGGGAGGCCCTCCATGTCGAAGCGCCACAAGTTTTTGTATGCAGCAGAACTGATCTCCATGCAGTAGCGCCCAGGAGTAAAACAAGACTCAATTATTCCATTAGCATTGATCAGTTTCTGACGAGCTAAAGCGTTGATATCCAGTGTGTATCTCATGTGTGGATCCAACAACTTATAAATAGGATGCATCGCACTTAATTGCCTATGAACAGACAATATAAATGGTTCCATGCAGGCATGCGTGCGTAACCTGTATTATGTATACAATTTAGCAAACTAAAGATATGTGTAATTTCACCACCAAAATACAATTTATAGTTATTTGATTGATTGAATAATATATGTGGGTTTGCTTACCAATGATTAACAAGTTGGTGCACGCCAGCGTCATTGGCACAAACATGAGCTTTGGCAAGCTGCCACTTCCAATTTGTGGTTGCATCCACAGGAGGGGTAACTACGCGTTTTGATCTGGAACTTGGTCCGAGGCTAAGTTCTATAGCAATAGGCTTGAGAGTACCAAGTGGTGTCCAGAAAAATATGGTGCGCGTAGCATAGGATTTTCTACCATCAAGGGCATTGATCCCGTCAAGATATGGAATATAGATGTCGTGGTAATTTATCACAAACAGCTTATTTTCCACTATTGCCTGACAAATTCAAAGGAATAAAATTAGTACTAGGAGTCTAGGACCAAAGTGTTTTAAGAAAACTCATGGGATTTGGAAACATCAACATTTTTAGTCATTTTATTTTATTAATGATTTTGAGGGCTACCTGTTGCACAGTCATGCCATTAAGTTGTCCCAAAATATGCTCTTCTTTAAGTGCAGATTCTTGGTGGCCATATATTTCCGGGTCTAGCTTGCTTACCGGAGGGAAAACTTTAAGCTTCTCAATGTTTACAGGGTTGACTCCTGCTATTGCTTGCCGGGCAAATTCGTCATCTCGTAGCCAGGCAAACTTGTCCTCTGTATGATAAACACGAGATCATTAGTTTAGTTTAATCAGATAGAAAAGCAAATACAACACTTCGGTTACAGTAATATTAAGTAGATGAAGCCTAGTGAAGTTTAATAGAATTATAGAAAATAGTACCCGATCTGGCTTGACACGCAATAGTATATATAACAATGAGATCTAAAATGGAAATTGAAATCTTTCACAAAGAGGTGATTCAGTAAGGTTCAGTTAAGATTGAGAAATAAGTTTACACCAAAATTCTAATAATTAGAAGGAAAAAAAACAAGGAGACACTCACTGGAAATAATCTTGGGAGTGTCATACTTGAGAAGTCCTTGGCTGCATTCTTGTATCTTTGTGACCACTTGTGGCAATGGGATTTTCTTCAAAATTTCATCTTGCACGGGCAGTCCATCACTGTAAAGGTCGTCAATGTCTGAAAATCGGTTGAAGTCGTGGTTATTAGCAGAAAGACTAGCTTTAAGTCCAGGGATCAAGTTATGGAGCACTGCCTTGAGCCTCTTGATTGCGAATGTGTTCTGCTTAGACTCATCGAATTGCTCATCTCTTGGTACGTACATAGGCAGTGGCGTCTCCACACGACTCTCAGCATGCATATCTGTTGCACGCAATTTACTTTGTTATGCCATCCTACCTATTGCGTTAAACTCAATTCTCTCCTTTCCCAAATCAATCATTCAAATGCATTTAGAAAGAAATAATAATCCCGGCACAGCAATGTCTTAAGACCTGTACTATATACTTATAAAGTGAATGGTCAATTTTTTATTTTTATTTTTATTTTTTATGCTGAAATCACTCTCATTGAGTTGTTAATGTATGTTACCAGTATCAGTGGGGGCGCGGCCAGTACGACAGCGTCTTGGGTATGGATGGTCTTGGGATCCACCAAGAGTTGGTCTGGTAAGCTCAACTCCTTCATCTGGATTTCCCAAATCGTTGTATGTATCGAAATCATATATTCTATCAGAGAATGTTCTAACTCCTTTCCCATCACCTCGAAGATTTATCAGCTCCTTCTCCCTCAATTTTCTAAGCCCGGCAGGTGTATCTCCAGGAAGATATGTCTGACAAAATAAATCACATAATATAAATTACAAGTTCAGATTTTTTTTCCCTGTTAAAAAATCAGAATTAACAACAACATTTGAATGTCACAAAATATTAGTATACTATCTTTTTCTAGGTGGGTGTATTAACTTGGTGGTGTCTATGTTGTCGGTGGTTGATACGTAAACTAAAGTTAACCCCAGCATTAGTCAACAAGAATTTTCAAAATTCATTTCACAGCTATAATCTATGGCTTCTTGTTTACGACTTCAATTACAAATTGAAACTTGTGATTATTGAGGAAGACTTTTTCTTTGATGTAAAATAATTACAAAGCAGCCGAGTCTACTATTGGAAGAAGTTGATTGGTTTTTTTTCAATAAAGATAACAAAACGGACTACCTGTTCAACTGGTCAGCATTGTAGAAACAGAACTACTAATTTAAAATTAAAATTTCCTTGAATCTTCCAAGTTGGCAAAAAATAAAATAAAATAACCTTGTTAGAAAAGAATATCCTCTTTCCTTGTACCCATGAGTTGCAGGGGAAATGAACTGCTCCACTTACAAACCCTTCGATGGTTACACTTTCCAAGAAGAACTCTCTTTGGTGTTTGTTTGTCACAGTTATAGCTCCAGGGACCCCAAAATTCGAGTCCACTATGAATTCAGTTGTATAATTAACTCTCTCTCCTTTAACATTGGATTTCTTCGACCAGTCCTTTAGCGCTGCTTCTTTGCTCTTCTTTGGAGATTTCGTTTCTAAGTACCAAATCAATAAGCGAAAATTCATTGATCAACAGTCATGAAGAAATTAAAATTTAGAAAAAGTTTATTCGGTAGGGAAACAAAAATAGAAGAAATTGCTACAATTTGTGACATGGGTCGTGGAATGATTGTGTTTGGCAAAAATGGTGAGTCGTGAAAGGCTTACTTGGATCAATCTCGGTGCTGATAAGCTCGAGTACCACATTTCTTGTTCCTATCCAATCATTGATGGCATCCAAATGCTTCAACATGGCCTCTTTGAAATTCTCTTTGATCTTATTCCTCACTGTGACCACAGCCCTGACCTTGAAATGTACTGGTTTCTCTGCATGCACTTTCGGTGTGGTCTTTATCAAATCCTCACTGATAGCTGCCACGGGAAACCTTGCTCCCTTCCTCAACCTCATAATTCTTCTGTTTTCCAAAGGAACCAAGATAGGATTGATCGAGAACATGCCTTGCTTCTGCAGAAAAGTATTATTGTGCAGAAATACTTTGGAGGAAAAACCCATAAGTTCCTTTGCAAGGGCCATCTAATTCTCAGTTTTTCAGAACGGCAGAAGCAATGGCCTGGTATTTGGTTTTATAGAATGGGATGAGCAATCGTGCCTGTTATTTTATTTATTTGTTTCCCTAAATCTGAAACTGAATGAGCTACCAAGTCAAAACCAGGCTCAGGCGGAAAAAGTCAGCGTGGACGTTTTAGAAGTGAAATGACATCAAATATTAATAATTTTGACCTGTTCTGTTCTATGGACGCCAATATTTTGATCTCTAGTCTACATGATTTTCTCAGACTTCCATCCCCACCCACCATGTTTGCATCGTTGTCAATTTATGCTTCACACCTCCCGCATGACGTACGTGCATGCTAGCTAAGTAACGACTTTTCGCGCCTAAAGTTGAATTTAGTGATCAGGTCTTTTCACACACTTAATGCGTCAGAATCAAGTGTTGCTCTTTCGCCTAAAAGAACATAACTCCATCGTCCATAAATCGTTCTATCATAGTTGCCATGAGTTGGTGTTTTCACCACCAATTATTTATGTCGTTTTTTCTCATAAAATGGACAAAAAAAGAATGCAATAGACATCTCGATTTTAGTTTCCTCTTTTTGATTCCGGTGGATTTATTGAGGTTCTGTGGAGACAGGACCTCACTATAGAGGGGCAGAGGATTCCACGACTGGTTAATTTTTTTTTTTTTTTTTTTATCTTGTATTCATGGATTCTAGCTAGTAATGTAATTTTAGGTTTTCGTCCCTATAATGTGGGACTAATTTCTTTTTAAGGATTGTGATGTAATTCTATTCTTTAAACTTCAAATTATTTGTTTTAATTTTATATGAGGAAAAAGTAATGTAATAGTTGATTGTGTATAAGTATTGTAATAGTTGATTGATAAACATGATTAACACTTGTTAATTAACGGAATCACAACATAATTAGATTTAAAAGCTTGCATGATCAAACTGAATTTTTAATTGTTGGCAATTTTGGATGAGTTTTTGTGATTATTTTCCAATTTGAATTAATTAAATAAAATATTAAATAATTTTTTTAATTTATAAATTTAATTTATGTACTAAAAATTTTAATTCAATGGTAAAATTATTAAAATTTTATGCAAAATATTAGTTATTGAAAGAAATAAATTTAAGTAGACTTATTATTGAAGTAAATCTAATTAGACTTACTCTTAGGAGATGTTTGATAAGGAAGAAATTTTTTCATACTCAAGAATCATGATTCCTAGAAATTACAAATTTTGAAAATTATGATTCCTGAAAATAACTAAAATATGTTTGGTTACTCATAAAAGTTCCGAGGAATATTCATATAAGATTCTTAAGAATTAAATATTTTCATGTCTGATTACAAAAATTTATTATAAATATTTTTTATAAAAATATTATTTATTAAAATAAACTCATTATATATATATATATTAAAATCTTATTATAAATATGACATTATACTATTATTATTTAAATACAGAATTTAACAAAAAATACATAAGAATGTTGCATTATAATTAAAAAGAATAATAATATATTATTTTGTTTTATTCAAATAAAAATATTAAAAAATACTATTAAAATGTAGAAACAAAATATTTTAATAATATTATTAAAATTGACAATGTCAACAAATTATAATTATTAATATTATTAATAATTCAAACATTAAATTAAAAGTTCTTAATGCATAAATTAAATATAAAAAATTTTAAAAAATTTAAAAATTATTTGATACTTCATTATATAATTTCAAAATCAACATATAAAATATTTTATAATTATCTGTCAATTTAAATTAACAAAATGGACCATCAAATAATTTGCAAAATTTTTAAAAATTTACAAATTTTAACTATACATTAATAACTTTTAATTTAATAATTAAATTATTAAAATTTAATTTAAAACATAAATTATTGAAAGAAGTCTTACATATATAAATGACCAAACTCACATCCAAAACAAAAACACAATTTTAATTCCATCTTCTAATTAAGTGTCATTATTAAATTAATAATCTTCGTAATTAAGATATTTAAATTTTTTATAAAAATATTCTAAAAAATAGTAGTTAAATTAATCCAGAATTATTTAACAAAATCTTTCAATGTTCCATCTCTTCTCCTAAATCCATTATAAAAGCCCGTCAAGGCGCTCCACTAAGTGCTCTCCCGCCAGGCCCACGAGATAGGCCCTAAGCCATACAACAAAGAAATTGAAAAGTAAATGAAACATATAAGGCAGATGATAAATACACCTCCACTCTTATATAAACACACCCCATTTTTAAAAAAAAAAATATAAAATGTCTAAATTACCCTTTTTTAAAAAATAAAATTATTAAATTTACACCTCCTTCCCCGCACCGGCACCAGAACAGGCCGTTCTGCAAGAAGAACGGCCCGTTCTGATTGCAGAACGGGCCGTTCTACAAGCAGTACAGGCCTTTCTAGGGCCGTTTTGAGGCCGTTTTGTTGCAGTTCAGGCCACCGTGTCACTTTTAAAATGGCTATCTTATGACTGATTTTAAAACTCCGATTTTAAAAGTCATTTTTGTACTAGTGTGTCTTTCCATAGAACAAGTAAGAGTCTTTCTCTTACAAGACCACCTGCTGCGCACCCCTCTTCTTTCTCTTTCTAGCACTCCTCTTCTTCTTCTTCTTTTTTTTCCCGCACCTCGCACACCCCTCTTCTTTCTCTTTCTGGCACTCTTCTTCTTCTTCTTCTTACTGTTACGGAAAGTTCTTTCCGGAATTATATAAAAATGTTCCGGAAAACTTTCCATAATATTAAATTCTTATTCCGGAAAGTATTTTCCGGAAATGTTTTGTTACATAATTCCGGAAAGTACTTTCCATAATATTAAAGTTACTATTACGGAAAGTTCTTTCCGGAATTATATGAACAATAATTTTACTATTCCGGAAAGTACTTTTCGGAATGCTAATGACCGTAAAAGAACCTTTCTTATGCTGGTTATGGTAGGGCTAGTCCTTTTTTTCTATTCAGAATGACTGTAAAAGTATATTGCTTAATGACATTGAGCGAAAAAAGGTTTTGGGAAGAAGAGGGGTGTGGAGTGTGGGGTGCAGGGAAAGGGGGTGTGGGGAAGGGAGGTGTAAATTTAGGAATTTCATTTTTTTAAAGAGTAATTTAGACATTTTATATTTTTTTTTTTAAAAAGAGGGTATGTTTATACGAGAGTGGAGGTGTGTTTATCATCAGCCAACATATAAAATTGAATTGATAGCGTTACGATAGTTAACTTTTTTAATAAATTTAAACAGTTTCAATTTAAAACAGAGGAAGACCAGATCATAGTATAAAGCTTTGGAGAGAAGAAACAAGGGAAGAATATTAAAATGCCGGTTGCATTTGATCGAGACCATAGAATTGTTATGGAATGTATACAGAAGCTAGCTGGAAACCTAGTTCTATAATTAATCAAATACAACATAATCCAGAATTTTTAAAATCATTGTAGTTTACTATTTAGGGACTTTTATTTATTTATTTATTAAGGGTTATTTTTGTACATTGAGTTTTTCTTTATTTTATATTGTAGCTTTTTATTTGAAATATGAATCAAATCCCTTATTTTGTGTTGCCCTCTTTTAATGCTTCTTCTATCTTCGTATTTGATTTTCTTACTTAATAGGGTTTCTAACCCGGTTTTTGCTTTTGCACTTCAAATTCCTTTAGTTCATTTGTGTTGTTCAAAGGTTTTACTTCTAATCTAGGATTTGCGTTGGTGGACGGTGTGCACTGTGTCTTTCGTCTTTCGGTGGCCCTAGCCTTTGTTCATTGGTATTAATAACTGAAAGGAGAAGCAATGCTTAATATGAATGCGAAACTACAATTTTTCATCTTTTCTATTTGAGATTTAATTATTTTTCTTTAAGATTTTTTCCTTTTTAACTTTTCCTCCATTATGTCTGTGTTTTATTTTTCCTCTATTTCATTTTTAATGAAATGTCCAGGACCCATAGCCATTTTTTCATTTTGTACATTGGTTGGGTTCAGTGTGATGCAGGTGTGTATTGAGCGTATATGTTATTGTTAGGTTAGTTTATTAGCCAAATTTTGTCGTGTTTTGAGGAGTAAGCCTGAAAATGCGGATGTGTAATGCCTATTTGATTTTGGGATTATGTTTATGTTACCTGAAATTATGGTAGGTTAATTATTTGCTATCTGACATAGTACACATTGTTGTTGTGATTGATGTGTTTTTAAGTATGTGATTCTTGTTTATTGTGGTTTTTGCATTGTATAAGGTATAGAAGAGTTGTTGCAAATGAGTGTCATTTTGTATTTTGTTCATCTATCCCCCAATTATCTGATATTGGTAAAGAAAAATGTGGGATGAGGTTCATTAATGGTCATTATACTTGATTTATTTTGAATTTGAATTTGAATTTTTATAGCATTGTGTTTTTCTGACAAGTGTTTTGTTTTTCATGTCTGTATATACCTGTTTTTAAGAATGGTTTCGAAGTGCAAAACTTTGGCAATATATCTTAGATGGATTGTTAATAGGTATTGTGAAAAAGAGTGTGTAAGTTTTATGATCCTATTGGAACAATATGTGGGGGAAGGACACATGGAAACTGAAAGTTAGAGTTGTGAGATTGTGAAAAATGGCTCTGTTTGATCAGCCCAATAACCCATTTGCAATCCAAATGATATTGATGGATGGTGAGGTACTGATTCAATTTCTTTTTTTGTTTTCATACTTTGATTGAGTGTGATTTATTAATGTAGTTATGTTTATGTTTAATTATACTTAGGGGGGAAGGATAAGAAAGTATAAGAAAGTCAATAATGAAGAAATTTGTCAATGTTATTATTGAAGGAGAGGTGTATAGTATGACAAACTTTTCAATTTTGCTTAATGGTGGTGCTTACAGTGCGACCAAACATGAATATAGATTGTTTTTCAACTCCAAAACAAAAGTTGTGCTATGTGAAAGTTCTCTTATTCTTAAGTTTGGTTTTTCATTGGTAGATTCCTTATTTGTTGCACAAACTAATGGAGAATCCAAATATCTGCTTGATATTTATTTTATATTTTAAATAGTGAATTATTTTAATAGTAACACTGTTACTTATTGTGATATACTAATTTGATGTTTTATTGTGTTGATTTATACATTAGATGTAATGGGAATTTTGACAACTGTCTATGGTGAAAAGAGTTTTATCAAGGATAGAAAAACTTTCAAGTTTATAACATTGGCGTTGGCTAATGATAAGTATGTGTATTATGAATTGTACAATGAAATATTAAATATTTTTATATTAAATGTTTCTAAAATGTATTTTCTTAAATTTATACAATGTTGGTTAATGATTCAGGGGTGTTGTTAAATGTTCTTTGTTTGGAGAGTTTGTGGATTTAGTGAATAATTTTATTGCTGCTGGTGTTGCCCATCGTCCTGTTTTGGAGCTTCAACTTTGTCGGGTTAATACTTACAAGACAGTTTTTTAGGCAATCATTTTCTGCATTGTTTTGGGTTAATTTTATTTGATAAATTATTAATTTAGTTTTATGATTTATGTTATATTTTTTACTTGCACTATTCTTGTACATGTGAAATTGGTTTACAAAATGTGACAAATGCTTCTAGGCTTTTTTGGGATCTTCAAATTCCAAAAGTAATCAATTTTAGGAACAGGTGAGATGTGTTTGTGTGTGTATTTTTTGTCTATATCATATTTTTGGCTAAAGAATCTTATAGTTTGTAGTTAGTTTGAATTTGAATTTTTTGGAAAATATTTTTATTGTAGGTTGTCAACTCATGGTATTAAAGTTGATATGCCTATTCGTGTTGTTAATGGAGGATATGCTCATATATCTTTAGAAAATGAATTTCTTAAGAAATTTCCTCAAAAATCCATTAATGAGCTACAAGTCTATGAGGAGGTGATCATGATATTGTCATTCAATATTATATGATGATTCAATTAATTTTAAAAATTTTAATTATGTTTTGATCTTTTTCTTGATTTTTACTAACAGGAGGGTATATTTGTTGTTTTGGGTAATGTGTTGACTGTATTTAAGGATGGTTCATGGTGGTACATGGCATGTAAGTGCCACAAGGCTATTGCTCTTGATAATGCGTTTTACTGTTATGCTAGATATGAATATCATGTGATGGATCTCACATCTTGATAAATAGTCTTCGTCGTTATGTGTTATTTACTTATATACATATTTAGAGTTTATATTTTGACTACTAATTTTTTATGTTTGATGTTTCAATTTTAAATTAAAACTTGAAGTTAGTGATGGGAAAGGTGTTAGGTCTGTTGTTTTGTTTGATTTTGATTGTAATGCTCTGATGAAAAAAACTTGTAAGCAATTGTTGTCTGAGTTAAAGATTTGTTATATAATTTAATTTAATTTAGAAAAATAAGAATAAAAAATGAATTTTAGTCATGTTAGTTATTTATTGTATTCGTTTTATACACTCCAAAATTATGTGTATACATTTTTGATGATGTTTACTTTTTTCACAAGGATCCAACTGTTTATGATTATCCAGGTGAGTTTGGTAACTTAGTTGGAGTGGAGTTGTTGCTCATTATTGAGAAGTCAGCTAACCGTGGTTTTCATTAAGAAGATACTTTTAAAGTGAAATTTTTTTCCTTGATGATTGTGTAATAGAGAAGTTTAAGGGAGAAGATTTTATTATAACTCCAGAATCTGTATTTATTTATTTAGTTTCTGATTGTTATTGATAATCATTATTAGTTATAAATTTTATATGAAATTTTATTACAATTGTTTCATTAGCTAGGGGTGATCCAAATAATCATGTGAAAAATTATTGTGGTAAAGAGAAAGTTAAAGTTGAAGTATGTGAAGTTAGAACCCTATAAATGAAACTACTACAATATTTGGAACAATGATATTTTGTTGTTTAGTGACTCTTGGTTAGTTTTTTTTTTTTTTTTTGAGTATTGAAATAAAAGATCAACAATCACTAGTGCAAAAATTGGATTTAAAATCGGAGTTTTAAGATCGGTTACAAGGTAACCGATCTTAAAAGTGACGCGGTGACAATTTTGTAAATAATATGAACACTTTTAAGATCGGTTCAAATTTAACCGATCTTAAAAGTACTTTTAAGATCGGTTATTTTATGACCGATCTTAAAAGGTATACATTTAAAATCGGTTCAAATATAACCGGTTTTAAAAAGTATTTTTAAAATCAGTTACATTTTAACTGATTTTAAATCATGTCTTTTTTACTACTTTTAAAATCGGTTATAAAGCAACCGATTTTATATACAACATACAAAATCGGTTCCTGGATAACTGATCTTAAATATCCTATAACTAAGCTACGATAATCAATTTTCCTTTCTATGTTCCCTTTTACGTTTCAACAATTTCGGCCTCCACTATCTGCTTTGTTCGTCCAGGTTCACAAAGAGGCAGCTGTCTGTTCGGCTTCAGGTTCGTTTTTAAGCTTTTTGTTGCCCTTTCCTTCATTCGTGCTTAGGGTTTCTACCCATTCACGATGGCTTTCACTAAAACCTTGCAAACTCCTTCTGATTCTTCCACACGCGAATGTTTTTACTTGGTTGCGGCGAGGGAGTATATGTGACCCTCTTCGCGGACTAGGGACCTCACTAAAGCTTCGTTTTTGTTGATGAAAGCTTCTGTTGGTCTTCTTCTTCAAAAAATATTACAAATAAACATACTTGATTTATTAGATAGGTAAATTGTTTAAAAATATCTAATTTCTTTTATTGATTATCATTACATTTGACTTTACACTAATCATAATATCATTTTATAATTAGGGCCATGGAAGGATATCATGTACTTAAGGGTTCAAAGATGAAGAAAAAAATGAGTTGGATCTCTCCTAAAGTAAGATTTTAATTCTAGCAATGATATTTTTTTTAAGTAATTTAGTAATTTTTTTTAATTACTATTCTATTGAAATTGATTTTATATTCTTTTTGTAGTCTCATAAACAAAAAGGAAATTATGAGTGCGGATACTATGTAATGAAGACAATGCATACTATTGTCGATTCACAAATAGTATCTGGGTGGACTGAAGTAAGTTTTACAATTTTGAAAGTTTTTGTTTTAAGTTCTCATTCTATATATTTTATGAATTATTACTAATTATTTTAATTTTTCTTAACAGATATTTATAGATCGATCACCATTGCCGCTAGAAGACATAAACATCATTAGGGAGCAATGGACCACATTTTTTATTGACCATTACTTTAACTAGTTAGAACTTACATTTCATTGAGCAATGTAGTCCATTTATGTATTAGATGTATTTAAAACTATTCAATTATATATATATGATTAACATTTATCATCTTGTCATTTGTATGCGATTTGTGCTTCATTGAGAAAATATTTTAAACTGTCTGGTGTTTCTGCAGGTTTTTTGTTCTGAGGTGCTCTCAAAACAAGTCAAATATACAAAAAAAAAATCACTACTTTTAAGATCGGTTATGCCATAACCGATTTTAAAAGTAGACTTTTAAAATCGGTTGTTACATAACCGATTTTAAAAGTCTTGACTTTTAAGATCGGTTACAAAACAACCGATTTTAAAAGTCTTGACTTTTAAGATCGGTTATATAACAACCAATTTTAAAAGTAGACTTTTAAGATCGGTTGCTGTTATAACCGATTTTAAAAGTCAAGACTTTTAAGATCGGTTATAAATCAACCGATTTTAAAAGTCTCTTTTAAAATCGGTTGATAACCGATCTTAAAAGTCTACCTTTTCAAAATCGGCTCTTTTAAGATCGGTTCCATAACCGATTTTAAAAGTCCAAAATAACCGATTTTAAAAGCCTTTTTTCCCCTAGTGAATGTAAGATATATGTTAATCAATCTATGACTCCAAAAGATAGATAATGTACAAAGAAAGAGGTAAGTGTCACGTACTATAGTTTTACAACCAAAATAATGAAATTTAATTTGAGGCAAAATTAAATTAATTGCACTATCAACCACAATCTTATTTGGAGGGCAAGTGTAGAGGACTTTTGGGCCTTCGGCTGGCAAGTAAATAAATGCACTAGCTTGCGTTGTTTATTGTTTACTCTGATAATGTTTGGCTCATGCATGTTGGAATGTATCTGTTTTCATTAGTTCATTTTAAGAGTAAAAATAAATAAATAACAGCTCCTTATTAAAAAAATGATTGTCTATCGAAAAATATTGAACATTTTATGAATGGGTAAAATTTCATGTGTTGAGTTATATGAATGAGAAAAATAAATTATAGAAGAATTTTACCTTCTTAATTAAACTAATTCGTCGGATACATCTCTAGCTGGATGCTTTGTGTTAAATTGTGATGTTTCAATATGCTTAAATGATAGAAAATTTGCAGTAGGTAAAACGTTTCATGATCACAGGAGTGTGATCTTGTTTTCATTTGCTGCGAATATTGGATTCTACTTTGTTATTCATGCCGAATTATGGACAATCTATATAGGAGTGGATATTGTGTGGAGTAAAGGTTTTAGGAAGTTTAATTATCAGAGTCCAATTCTATGACTACAGTGACCTTTTTTTAATAAAGGGTATGCCTCTCACCATTTCTATTTTTGACTAATTTAGAGTATTTTTTCTTTCAATACACGTAAGATATGGTGAACTTTTTTGGTAGCATGTTTACGTTGAAGTAAATCAAGTAATTGATGCTCTAATAAATTTAGAGATGTTTCTTTTGTGTTTGGATGAAAACTTTTCAAAATTTAAAGAATTTAAAATTTTTGAAATTTGAATTATTGATCGACCAAGTCGAGCAGATGCGACAACAGCACGACGTCGACCTTCAAAACATGCACACCCAGCACGAAAATGACCTTGCAGCGATGCGGACCGCTAATGAAGCAGACCTCGCAACATTACGTGTCGAAAATGAGCGCATTCGCGCCTAGCTCCCTCGACACCACTCCGAACAACCTCCGCACGAGAGCGACACCCATGAGGAGGAGGCACATTCAGCCTCCCAATCCCGAGCGACGACCAAGGCACCGACTTCACGGCCCGCCATGCACCGGTCTCATGCATCCACGCACAGATCAGGGCAGGGTACTAGCAGGGCCCCCACCCATGTCTCCGAGGGCCAAGAACCCTTCCGTCGTCATCCTTTTGTGGATGGCATTATGGAGACCCCACTGCCCCGCGGGTGGAAGCCCCTCCACCTCGACCGCTACGACGGCACCACGGACCCCGACGAGCACATCGACTCGTACACAACTCAGGTAAACCTTTACACTAACAGCGACGCTATATTGTGTAGGGTTTTTCCGACCTCACTCAAGGGACCCGC